AAGAACTTGTAAAGGAAAGGCGCGCTTGTTGTTGTTGAGAAAAAGTGCTCGCAATACAACTTTTCAGTAATAAGACCGTGTGAGGGAACCCAATGGAGACCCTCATAAGAAAAACCTGACGCGCAAGGCAACACCCCTTTAGTTTGAGGGAAGAAGAATACACTTTTTGAGGAAGACCAGGGTGACCCCTAATAAGCACATCTGGAGAGTTCTGCTGAGTGGATCTGGCTTCGTGCAAATTTAGTTCTGGTTTCGTATTGGGCCTGGAAGACCCTTTAATACACAAAAAGTGCTCCAGACATTTTTTTTTCGCATTCGAGCGGCTTTTTTCTGCTCAAATCCAATTAAAGCACGTTTTGAGGTTGCCTAGCTGCTTGGTGAAGCGCTCGAGAGAAAACGAACCCGCAACTCGAGTGCAGGTTCTCGCTACTCGGGCGCAATTTTCCGCAAGTCGGGCGCAATTCCAAAAAAGTGTGCAAAGCCAAAAGCTCCACCCCGCAATCTGTGCGTTTGCACGTGTTTGTATTTACCATTACTGGCGCACTGATTTGCCACGAAAGCTTGCGCAAACATTTGTGTATCAATGGGTCCTGCAGGGGTAACTTAAAATAGGTATTGGCGATTTGTGGGGTCGGCTGGTTTTTGCTTAATTACTAGGGGAACTTTTATTAATGGGAAGAAGGGATTAATCTGGTCCACACCTGTTTCCACCGCCATTCAATTCCGCAAAAGGCTAGGTAGAACTTGGTTGTTTTGGAACTATGGGAGGAGGTTGATGTTGGGCTGCAATTTTGGAGCAACCTAGAGCCAGAATGTGGGCGCGTTGTGTAAATTCATGCTCCCACAGTGGTATCGACACTTGCTTGAATATATTGCATATACAAAGAGATATATATATATATATATGTCTATATGCATATATATATATATATACACATGGGATAATAGATATCCACACACAGCAGAGTTGGGACATCAGTCAGCAGACACTTTGCTCCCGGTCCTGTGTCAAAGCTGGCGAGTGAAGTCCAGAAGCAATCTGACAAGGGGCTTCGCCGTTGCTCCTGGGACAGCACAAGCCGAGAACTGCAAGCCAAGTACGTGCGTTTGAGACCTGGTGCTTTCCATGAACGAAACCAGGGCCCCGACCGCAACCAAGCAATCCAGCTGGAGATGAGCCGCAAAAGACGGGCAGTACCAGCAGCATCTCTGGTTTGCAAAATGCCCACCTTGGAATTGACTAGAAGCCTGGCACAAAAGGAGTCGATGTCCTCCTTGCAGTGAATAGCACTTTCTGACTCCTCCTGCTCATCAAAGGCCACACAGCTGCTTGCCGATTTGGGGTCCCCTTCCAGCAAGAAGAAGGTGTGTTGCAAGCCACATCTCTCCATCCTTTCCAGCTGCCTGAGGTGGTCCCCTACTGCCGACCGCCCCACCAAGTCAGAAATTCGCTTCCGCTCCACCACGAAGTCCAACAGCTCCACGCGCTCTGTCGCCCAGGCAAAGTCGCCCATCCGCAGGCGTCGCCGCACACAGGTCAGGCCCACCCTTGCCAGCTCGCCTGAAATGCACTCGAAGAAGCGCCGGGGCTCGGCATCTCGCAGCCTCTCCCGGTCATCCACAATGAGAACAGCTGAGGGTACGACAGCAGGTATACCCGGCGTAGCTGGTGTCGTGGGTGCAGCTGGGGTGGCCTGTCTGGCCGGTGTAGCAGGGGTGGCCGGTGTAGCAGGCGTAGCGGGGTTGTCCGATGTGGCAGGTGTGGTTGGTGCAGCCAGATTGGCCGGGGTGGCTGGTGCAGACGGTGCTTCAGGCACATCAGCAGGCGCTTCTGCCTCATCACTCGAAATTTCCAAAGCCTCGTCCCGTACGCGGCGTTCCCGATCTCGACAAGCAGAGAAGGGGGTTGGCGCTGAGGATATGGACCTGGGCAATCCTTGAAAGACTCGAGCTGCCCATCGTGGCCGAGGCGTGCGTGACCGGCTTGGGCTGACAAGCGGCGCAGCTTGCGACGGGGCCCCTCTCTCTCTCTCAGGCCAAAGCCGCAGCATAGCCTGAATGAATTCTTGGCCCTCACTGGTGAGTCTGTACTCTTCTCGTGCGGATCCTGCGACAGCCCCGCGGCACGCGGCCACCAATCGGTGAGCCAATAGGGAGCGCATGGACGCCCAGCCACTAGATGATGTCGTCCAAGCCTGACCCTCCATGCTTACATCACAGAAAGGCTGTGCTGCCTGCAAAAGCTCAGACTTGTACATAAACTCACGAGGCCCCTCCTTTGGGTGCAAGTGCAGCGCCATCAGAATAGCATACCCGCCACCTCTGTACTGCATCCGCTTCAGATACGGATGCTGCGAGAAATCTCGTTCAGGCGGGTCTTCTGCAGCTTGGGTCATTTCGGGAGGCACGATGGGCCGTTCCTCGTCAGCATGTGCGCGCTTAGCCACGCGGCAATTTCTTACCAACACATTCAAAAAAACAGCTATGTACATCTAAAACATTTGATCCCCTTGTCGCGGTTGCTATTCCCAACACGAATGGCCTACAATTACAACCGTCAAAGAAAACCGAGAGTGATCGATTCGCCACCTGTATTATGGACCTCTCGGCAAGGTACGATTCGTCAAACATTATCCCCACTAGTTCAATTGTCTTCAATGTCAAATTACTTGATGCCCCAGCTTCCACTTTTCCAAAGGGCCCCCGCTCAAGCATTTCTGGCGTCAAATTTGACTACCACTCCCTAAGCAGTTCCGTAGAATATCCCCAAATTCATCGGCATGCCGCAGCTGTCACAAAAAACACGCGTCAACAACACATGGTTCAATATACAGTAGCAAATCCCAAGTTCCTTCCATCACTCTTGCTACATGCGCTTTCAAGACTCCGAAAGGGTGCATGACTGACTTCATAGGAATCCTTATCATGGTCTAAAATCCCAGGGTTGATCACCCTGGCCCGCATGGGAGCGCGGAACTCTTCAGCGCCCAGGCAACAATGTGTTTTTTGACATCGTCAAGTGCCAATCCATGCCGGAACACGCAAATGTGATTCAAGTGATGTCCTTGAAAGGCAACCTTTTGCACGTCTGTGAATCCAAAACGCCTCTTAACACTGACTGGCTGCATGCGGTTTTGAGAATGGCAAAGACTGGTTCCGCGAGGAAAGTCTGACAAAGCCGCCGCCCATAGAAAGCTTCCGAGATTCCCCTCGCACAATGGCCTCCAGCTCCTGCCGTGCCGTTGTCTCCTGGGAGTTTGAAGTTTTCGGATGCGGTGGCGGAGTCCGTGTCCCACCCAGGGAATTCAAACCGGCGAAAACGTGTACCCCAAGTCGAGGGATCGCACGAAGTTTGGACTTCTTGTCGGGGATGATTTCACAGGGATAAACAACTATTTGCATGCTGGTGTTGAACCACTTCGTCTATGTAGTCTACAACAATCAGTCGCGGCAAGCTGAAGGAGGGTGATCACTATGTATAATCTGTGCATTCAGGAAATCGGCAATTCCTCCAGGCATTCTGCCAATTCATCAAAATCTCTCACCCCTCCCTGTCCTGCTTGAAACAAACCTTTGATAACCTGGCTCAGTGGCCATGGAGGAGCGTTTTGGGGATGTGAATCTTTGGCGTCTGGAACCAACCGCAACCCAAGCTCGAAACAGGGGCCACCCAGCTTACCATCGTCACCCCCCAAAATATCAGCTTAAGTGGAACCCCGAGTTTCTGACGAACAGTCGAAATTGGCGTTTCTCAAAATGGTTTCCCTTTGTGTCCATTCAAATACCAACAAAAAAGGCTTGAAGGCTCCACCATTTTCAGAAACCGCCAAACGCTTTCCGCGGTCCTTGATGTTGGGGAGGTTCACGATGCGCCCCGTGGCCAGCTGCCGGATCTCCTTCTCCACCGCCAGGATGGCACAGCGCGCCTTGCGCCACAGGAACTCCCGGCTGCTGCCTTTGGACATGTGGAAGCACCTCACGAAGCCGCGAAGCCGCGAAGCTGAAGCCGCGGCCATGAAATGCCCTCATGACACACAGTGACCACGGAAGACTGGAGTCCGGCGAAAGATGCACGCCAACCAATCAGCCTTTTGATGGCTCAGGAATGACATGAAACGCAGTGATCGTATGTACCCTAAGTGTGGGTGTGGATGAAATCAGTTGCTTTCCTAGCGTCATCGAAACGGATTGACACCGTCTGGCTTGATGAGAACGGAAACTAAAGACTCACCGTATTATACCAACTTACTCCAGTTGTCTTCTCTCCCCTTTCCAAATGCTCACCTGGCCAATAAGTGGTTCCATACCAACAACAGTATTTTGTTCAACAATCACTGCCAGCTGTTATATTTTTTAATGATACCGTGAGGCGGTGGTGCCTCAATTGATTTCGTCCGATAAGAACCAGTGGTTCAAATCTTCAAATCCCACAAAAAAACCCTGGCCGCCCTGGCGGTGAGGCCGAGGCTCATCCGCACCTCGGCCGCCCTCGCCAAGTCTGCGTTCCAAACCTTCACCATGGCCGGCTGCGGATTTCCACAGGCTCCAAGCGCCAAACGGCTGCGCATGGCGGCTCTCCACGCCTGACTTAACAAGATCCGACCGGGCTTGCCTCCTAGCTCAAACAGAAGAGTGAGCAGCGTTCTGGCAGTGTTCATGCGCAGAACTGTACAATACGAGTTGGTCAAGCAAAGCCGCTACCACTATTCCTCCCAGCAAATTCATGACCAACCGTTGAACCCCACTATCTAGGTGTCCTGCGGATGGGAGTTACAAATTAGTTATAAAAAAAAGCGGGCTCGCAAAAGCACTTTTCAAATACGATGTACAGGCTGTCACATGTTTTCCACGGGGCAATCAAACACTATGCCCTCCAAGCATGACGACGGTACAGGGGTTTGAGTCCATAGGAGCGCTTCCTTCAAACGGTCTATGCTGGCGGCCCCTAGCACCGTGCCAGACGCCCAGCCAATTGAGCCAAGTGTGTCCAGACCCCCGGCCTCTGAGCTCATCAGCTGGCCCGAAGCCACAAACTTGTAGCCTCGGGGCGATGGGAGGCCTGGGCCCTTCACAATCCAAGTCGCATAGGCTCGGTTTGCAGCGTATTTCAGCACCTGCCTTCCTAGGGCAACGTGCAAGATCGTGAAACTTGAGCCCCAGGCCAATTTCTGCAGGCTTGCCGAGTCGCAGCAACGCCTCAAGGTGCAACCGCACAACTTCAATTCCATTGAATCCACATTCCCTGGGCCTGCTGCTTGAACTCTCTGGCAGGAAGACTGCGTTTCACGGTGAGTCGCAACTCATTCTGCATGCCTCCGATGGTCTTCAGTCTTAGCTGGATCTCATCCTTTGGCTCCACAGGTTCAAAGGACACACACGAAGCTCGCGCCAGAAAAATGCGGCCATCCACCGACTCGAGAAGCGTGGAATCCTCCAGCAGTCTTCCACGAGTGACGAGTCTTTGCTCGTCTTCCTTCACCCCAGTCTTGTTGGCCAGGGCAGCTTTCAAGTCAGCAATGGTGCCACCTGCCACCTCCACCTCCACAGGAAGCGATGCAGCGATTGGCTGCACCTGAAACACCGGCATGGCCTCTTGGTCACGGTGATACGCTTACTGCTGGATTTTGCTTCGGCAAACTCGGTACACACCAAAGTGACACTTCTACCTGTTAATCATGGCCCTTTTGGGGCCCGTGGTTCTGCTGAACTTTGCTGAAGGCCTTTTTTATTTGAGCCAATCTTCTCTCACCGGCATGGCCTGGCCCATCAAATCGGGGAATGAGCCACCGTTGCACCCCGGGCAGCCAGGGTTGGGCCAATGTGATCAGAATAGGTGGACCGTTTGAAAGACAAATAGGTGCGTCTTCTTTAAAGGACCCAAAAGCGGGCTTTATTTTTGGTTCTGCTTTAAAACCACCAAAAAAGGTGGCACCCTCAAGAAAGACAAGCAACCCCAAATTGCAATTGCTTTCTGTGTTTTTTAAGGGAATACCCTGCCACAGTGGCTCAAGCACATCGCGCCCAACCCAGGCTGACGGCCCAAAGCTTCTTTCGTCGGCAATCATTCTGCATCCGGCTGTCACATGGGCAGCATAAGGCCCACCTGGCAAAATCACTGGTGGCTGATAGACCCAAATGGTGAGCGGTCCCCGTCTTCACCATCTTGGCAGGGAAAACAGCGTGAGCCGCAAATGGAATGCCTTGAGCGACACCATCCGGGCCTTGCAAAGAAAGCCGATATCGAAGAGAGCGCAGAAGGTGCCTGCAGTTCATGGATGACATAGCAAACCAATGCGGGCTTACAACGGCAGCTCGGCAAGCCAACGCCTAGATACGACGACTAGCCCTCCCATCTCAGCGCCTGTGATTTTGAGCGCAGGTTGGAGGTCACGTCCAACAAGGAACCAGATGCTGAAGCAGCCGCGCAGACCGCCTCGTACAAGGAAAGAACTCCCTACTGTCACTTCTCCGTCGAGGCATGAGACAGAACAACCTCAAGCATCTGCAAGCATTCAACCCTCTGCGCGAACCTGGGATACGATCACTCTGTCAAATCAAACGTGTGGCTATGTGCATTACTGTGCATTAGACAGCGAATGTCGACGTTGCTTGTTGTCCACACACAAATTAAACCAAAGTGCACACAATTCACTCTCCGAAGTTGCCGATGGCTTTGCTTGGTACCTTGCAAGTAGCTGCTATTACCACTGGAAACTGCACCGCAGATTGTGCCTCAGGCGTCATTGCTTGGCTTGCACATCTACCGGCCAAGAAACCTAAGCCTTGCTCGTGATAAAAACCTCAGATTGCTAAATACTCGGGTGTTCCCTCCAAAAGTGATGAACTCCCACAAAGGCATCCCTCGAGAAATTATTGGTCCATATAATCCAGGATTCCCATTAAGAGGCTATGAAAAAGCTCATGAGCCGAACCTTGGAGTTCAACCAGCCAAGCGTCTTGCGAATTGTTTGGCTGAAGTGCTGGCCCCGTACCAAGCTTGTTTTTCCCCCGTCGTGCTACACGCCATTCAACAGCAGTAGCACGGCACATGGCTTGATATAACTGTCCTTTCGCTCGAGACAAATCTGGTTCAGGAAGGGCAATTGTACTGTGTCAAAATCAGGAGACTTTTGTATGGAGCTCACGCGTCGGAGCCGACGCTCCGACCTGTCTTGCGATTGAGGGCTATGAATTATGAACAACTGGCGGTTGTTTTTGTTGGTTACATGGAGATAGGGGGCTTTCTAAGTCTGTGTACATTGTGAACTATCCAAAGGCAGCGGATTTGACAAGGCTGACTCCAGCTTCATTCCTGCCTCCCACTGTCTCTCCAAGGCCATTCGCTTTCGGTGGATCTTGCCAGCCTGGCGCTCAAAAGCGCGACTACTCTGCATGACGTCTGTGCTTGTTGCACTTTCAAATGCTTGCTATCACGTTTGCAGTGGTGTCTGTTTCCTGATACTTCTGTCTCAGTTTTCTCACACGGCAAGGCGCAATCAAAATACCTCACCCATGCAAGCCCGACTTCTTGTGCATGGCTGCCAATCAAGGGGACATCAAGGGGACAAGTCGTGCACCACAAAGATCTACAAGGTAAGGTAGCACTCAACCCACAACCCGTACAGCCCAAAGCTGCGGGCAGTATTCTCCAGATCTGCAAAATACCGTGCAACAAACAATTCTTTGTACATGCACCGCAGTGAGGGCTCCTATTAAGATGTGGCTGTTGTTTGGGGATGCCAACCGACTTCTGAATCAGCCAATATGACAATGCATCTACATCTATGTCTACACCAACACCATAACAATCATCATCGTCACGTCGTCATCATCAACCTGTTCATCCATAACACACACACACACACACACATTGCCGCACCCGCCAGGCCTCATGCGCAGCAAAGTCTGCCGCTGTACGGGTGCTGACATGGCAAATATCACACCTTGGTGCTCACAACGTCTGTCACGGCTCGCTGACCCTTTGTTTTGAGAAAGCGCCGCAAGGCGGTACACGTAGGCCTTTCTTTGTTGGCGGGAACTGATTCTGGTGATGGAGAGGCTGTCGAATGTGACAATTCTTCTTTGGAAGGAGCATGTTTTTTTGAAGGCGGAGTTTGACCTCTCAGTAGTCATTGAAATGTTGTGCAGCTTTTGATAAAAACTTGGCCTGGCCTGAAGTCGAAGGGGTCCTGCGGCGACTCCTCTGGACTCAGGCAGTACCTGTCGACTCAGATCCGGCACCCGCAGAGACGATAGGCTGGCAACGTGTGTATTTCTGAACTGTACGGCTGAGACTGGCTTCTATTGCCGCGTCGCCCATTGCTTCTATTGCCGCATCCCTTTCCTCTTTGTTCGTGGGGTTGCTCTGCGTGTCAGCGACCATGACACACCGAAGCGTTGTTTCACAGGTTGGCACTTCCAGGCTGACGATGCTGCCTGAATCGCATGCCTGCAGTGCACTGGGCATAAGGCATGATTTGGTCATACAGTACTGAGAGGCATGCATCAGGCTCATTCGATTCCAGAAACTTGCTAACCTGACCTGGGCACTCACCTGAACACTGTTGGAAATCCCCCTAATTTTCCTTATGCCCACGATATGATGTGGTCAGTCTCATGCGGGGCGGCCTCATTTTGTTGACATCCTTGCAGGAAACAGCGCTTGCAACAACAACTATCGCAAGTACACATTGGCAACTCCGGCTCGAAAGTCGGCACTTTTCAGTACAACTGTAGTAAAGGAGATGCACTTTGGCAGCTCCGGCTCGAAAGTCGCAACTTTTCAGTACAAGTGAAGTAAAGAAAATGCACTCTGGCAGCTCCGGCTCGAAAGTCGCAACTTTTCAGTGCAAGTGTAGTAAAAGAAACACACTTTGGCAGCTCCGGCTGGAAAGTCGGAACTTTTCAATACAAGTGTTGTAAAGGAAATGCACTCTGGCAGCTCCGGCTCGAAAGTCACAACTTTTCAGTAAAAGTGTAGCAAAGGAAATGCACTTTGGCGGCTCCGGCTGGAAAGTCGGCACTTTTCAGTACAAGTGTAGTGAAGGAAATGCCCTCTGGCAGCTCCGGCTCGAAAGTCGCAACTTTTCAGCACAAGCGCATATAGGAAAGGAAGCACCCTCGAATTCCCAACAAAGTCTGCGATCCTAGGAACACATGCGCGTGTGTTCCAAAGAGCGAAAAGATCAATAACACTAAACCATTTCTCAACTGAACCTGCAGAATTGGCATGGTGAACGCGTGTCGCTCAAATTCAGCAGGGTCACCAGTTTGCAAATGTGTGCCAGTGTTCCACTTCGAGCCGCAGCCATTCAAGTCTAAAAGCAAAATACCGTACACACAGGCGGCATCAACGCACGTGTTGTGCCGGGAGCTGTGCGCTGATCAAAAACGCGGCTCACAACAAACAATCACACAAACACAAAAACCAACACTCACACGCACACAGACACACAGACACACGCAGACACACGCAGACACACACACACACACCGCATGTGTTGTAGAACCCAGTTGTAGGCATTGCCAAATGAGCTTGGGAGGCTCAGGGAGGCCGAAGCCCTAACACCCCTGTCAATCATTGTTGCAAGTTGGAAACGACCGTAGCTGCCGTAGCTACGACTGTTCACTGGCAATCCTCCCAATATCTCCCAATGTCGAGGATCCACGTCTCCAAGCCTGAAGCAACTGCTATCGGCATGCGCGTACAGGAAAATCACCGCATCCGTGGGCTTCACGGACGCGTCTGGAACCGACCGAGATCAAGCGAGGACCGGACAGAAGGTGAAGCATGGGAATGAGTCCAAGTGAGCTCGATCAATTTTCAGGTCCATTTACAAAAGGAATGTCATTAAAAGGAAACCAACTAGCTGGAGGGGTCTGCAGCTATGATAAATCCCCAATTGCTCGAATCATGGCTTGACAAAATGCCCGCGGCCTCTATTCACATTGCACGGACCTCCGTAGATGGACGGATACTCCGTGTACCTATCTGGAACTCGCAGGTTGCATGGAGCAGTTGTGCATCTAACTGTCAACTACTGAGCCACGCAACCAGCATGAGCATATGAACAGCCCATCACATAAGTGACCGACAATACCACCACCAAAAAACGCTAGTATAGGGGCCGCCCAAACCGATCGGCTTTCAAAGGAATCTTCAAAATCAGCCAAGCAGTTGGAGGAGCCCCTCCATGGGGGGCACTGCCATGGCAGCGCTCCAAGGAAAGCCAGCTCGCCGCCAGCCCACTCAGGCAATGCCTGCAAGGCGTCGCTGGCCAAAACGGGGCCTATTTCAAACTTCGAACTGACGGCCCGATGAGGTCCTCAACCGCAACCAATTGCAAACTTGTAGCCCTTGGTGTAGCTAGTAGGTTTGTCCCAGTTCAAGCCATTTCCGATCAAGCTGATAGGACGATTGTGCTTTTAGAAGAAAGGACTGGCTTTTGTTGGCTCAAGGTAAATATGTTATCCCTCAACTCAAATCACTTTTCATCGGACATCAAAGGCCCCCTTTTCAAGGCCCACTCGCTTGCCCGAGCCTTACACAGCCTGCTCTTTGGCATGCAAAATGGGACTTTGACATCGTGGGAAACCTGTTCATTGGAAAACAGTCCTTCAGCTTGCCTTCGTGGGGAGGCATTAGGAGTGCAGCTTTGATCTTTTTCATCTCCCTGCACAGGAAGAAGGTTGCCGAACTTAAACCAGCCTCCTTTGAACTGCAGCCCTTTGGCAAAGCAGGAGGCATCAACGAACAAAAACGGTTTGACAGCCACCGGGTGCTCTGATCATTGCCTCCAATCGCCACCAGGAATAAGGATAGCAGTCCTGCACTGCCAGCGTGTTTGTTAGCCCCGACCTAAGCCCCTAGTCTAAAACGCGGCCCAAACAACAAGCCGGCAGGCTTGCAAATTCCAAGTGTTGTTGGTCCAACCCGAAGTCTTCGTCCTATGTGCAAGCCCGAATCCTAGATGTTCGAGAAATGTCATCGAAGGCCACTTTCAACTAAGTCACTCCTACCTTGGCCAATAGCCGGGTCCATCGGAGGGTACCTTTGTGTGCCTCCAGCCCAGATTCCAGGTGCGGCGATCATTGAACTTTCCAGGCGCTGCTCAATACCAAACAACCTCCGCTCTTGGAGCGCATCGCCAGTCTTTGGGCGAATCTTTGGACTCCTTCAAGCGCGTTTCAGCCGCTGGCAAAGGCAGCGACCCTCGCTCTCGCTGCTTTCGGCACTTCGTGCCGGCGGGAACGAAGAAGCCGCCCACTCAGAAATGCATCACGTCCGACACCGGCGCCTGCCCTCTGGGATGCCAGTACTTGGGATCTTCGAACTGTCTTGGAGACCACCTGAGCGGAATGCCTCCTAACTGACAAGTAATGGCTCAGTCTTCCTCCGAGCTCGGAACTTGGTGCGATGCTGGGCATTCGCCAACAGGGTTCGATAGTCCTTGCGAACACGTAAAAGTTGATCACAGCTCAACTATTCAGAGGCAGTCAAGCGGAGTCCAAACTATTATGCCGGTGCAAGGCAACTTGAATTCCATGTCCAACCCTGTGAATACAAAACGCAAAATGAGTGCTTTTTCGGAAATCCGGAAACAAGCTACCTCATGGGTGCAACAGCATGCGACTCCCATCTGCAGGCGTGGCACCGTGGGCAAGCCGAAGGGGTTGAATGCCTGGCCAAGCAAGGCAGCAAGGCATGGCCTGTGGCCTGAGAGGCAGTGGCTTCATGCAGATTCCCTTTTTGGAGCCCGCTCCCCGCTCCTCTGCCGGGTCCATGCCGGCAGGGTTGGTCCAATGTCCGCGCCTCCGTGGCATGCCAAACGAGGACATTGGTATGACCTAACTTGGTTACCCAAATTGAAACCAGGAAATGGAGTGACATAGTGAACCCTAAACGATGGACCTGTAAACCTGACATGGACGGCTGTCAATTCTCGTCCGCTGCCTCTCGGCCTCGCCGTGCGCTTCTGCTGGCGCCTCAAGAAAGAAAGCGACCAATCCGAGCTCGCGAACGCAAGATGTGTTGCCAAAATGCAGAGGCGGCTATCACCTCTTGTTTCACTTGTTTCACATCCTACAAACTATCGTTTCAAAGTGCAGGTAGGTTGCTCCGCCACAAACTACTGCATCATCCATTCAGGCTCCGAGCCTCTTCTTGCAGCTTCTCGCTCGGCTGCCTCAGTCAACATTTCTCGGGAGTACCCCCCAATCAACTCCATCATTTTTCGACTCAAAACCTTGCTGCCAAAACTGCAACGCCTGTATCACTGACATTGAACATGACGCTCGTCATGGGGAATGTGCTTGGCCGTTCCTTGAAAGTAAGGCCTTGGACAATGGCGTGCGTTTGGAGCGGTTGTCTGCCAAGCTGCAACGCAGTCTTGCTTGCAGGTACTCTTTGAACCTGCAAGGCAACTGGCAGAACGTTACCATGTGCAAAAACCAAAGGGAAACTGTGTGTTGGCCCTCAAATCATGTTGCACGGCATAAGTTAGACCAAGCCCACCTCTCCGGAAGTTGGCAGCCTCAAAGCAAGGGTCTTGCTCTCATCTTCCCTGGAAACAATGTGCGACCTACCGTCGCAAAGGTGTCAACAAAACCATGGTGGCGAAAGTGAAGTCCCTCAGGCGATTTGTTTAAAGCATTATTGAAGTCACCGGCAACTGCCACGAAAGGTCCAGCCCCCAGTCCCAAAGAGACCATTGAAGAGGAATGCGCATTTTTGACATCTTTCGAACATCAAGAGTCCAAATGAAAGGGACGCTGGCAATCCATAGCCAAATGAAAGTTTGAGCCCCGCGAAACGTCTCTCGGCTCCCGAGCTGTGCCCGGAACTCCTCAAGCTGCCGCTCCCGAGCCTTGGAGCTCAGACGCCTGCTGCGTCTTTGCGTCAAAATCGGGGGACCCGCGCAAAATGGTCCTTTTGATGTACCTCGAAAACTGCCTATAAAGGGGTACCCCTCGAAATAAAACACACACACACACTCACACACACACACACACACAGGTCTTGCTTTCTTTTCTTTCCCGGCCGACTCTAGGTCTTTGGCGTGCCTCAGCTGCTGCACCAAGTGCCTCAGTGGCAGGTGACATGCTCCACGCTGCCATGCGCTGCTGAATCCGGGGCTTCGGCTCCTCTCTCTCCCGGAAGGCCTCCTTCTCCTCTGCTCTCAGAATGCGGCCTGCAAGCAATGGGCTCGCCGCTCATTGACATGAAGGCTTTGGACCAGGATTTCAATGTTAAAAAAATGCAACATCCGTGTCACGAGTGAATACTTCCAAGCAGCTGGCCTCAAGTAACTTTCCAAACGGCCAAATGGCCAAGGCGCATCTTCTAGGCAGCCCCTGTAGATTTCTTGGTTACCACAACTGCCTGCGTCTCCCGCACAGGGCAACATGCTTGAAGAACTTCTGTCTGAGTCTCCTGCGAGAACCTGGCACAGAACCAGACGACCCCGGCACCTCAGGCATTAGTGCCAGGTTGAAATGAGGACCCAGAAATCCAGAACTACAGGCCCGCTTTTCTTTTAGCGGGGACTCCCTGGTTCAAGCAAACAGTGTATCAAGTTTGCCCTCTACCTTGCAAAGCCACTCCGCTCATGTTCATTTGCTTTCATCTGGGCCAAGCACTTGCATTTGCAAGACCTGTGCGAGCTGGCGCAAATCTGCAGAAGGACCACCGGCCTCAGCTTGGTATTGCATCCCATTGCCCTCAAAAGAATTCTTGGGAGTTGCGCCAGGGTGCGACTCGTTGCGCTCCACAATTGCAGTAAACTAGATGTGACAACAGTCAGTGTGCCGCGCTCTTAAATGGATGTGTTGTTGGAACAACAAAGGGAACTCAATGCATGGAACACTGGGGCCAGCGGCTGACCTCATGGGCCCCCCACCAGCTCTACCATGGCCTTGGCCTGGCGGATCCTGTGAAGATCGCCAGAACCCAGCGCTGCCACCTGCAAACAGCGCATGGACGAACTCAAACCTTGCGGTTGAACTGGTGCTCAAATCTAAGGATGAGATATGGTAAGCAAGGAGATGGCTCGGGGGCTCGCCCAACTCTCGTTCGCTCGATCCAGAGCGCGCCCCACACGAGCACTTACGACCCACGTCACGCACGGTTGCCTACCAGGCTGAGGCCCGCGCCGCTTCGTCGTGAGCCCTGGAGCGCGTCCTCGGGTTGCATGCACCTTAGGACCTTTCTCTCCTTCTCCCATCCCGCACTGCATTCGCGCTGACGCGCTCCCCAAAAACGCGAAGCACTTACAACAAGCGCATGTCTAGGATGGACATCGAATACCCAATCCCGATCCAGGTCGCACCCAGGCGCAACCCACCCACGTTGCCGCGAAGCATATTCTGCGGCAGGTCGCGGCGGCCACGTTCCAGCGCAGCTACATCACTGCACGGAACGGCGATTGAGGGCTTCTAGAAGGTACGACGTCCGTCTCTTTCTTTGTCAGCTCGCGCCGCAAGTGCGTGCGCGTTTGAGGCCATCGCTGGCATGCAGCCGACCCTGGACACGATGTCAAGAACAAAGGCATCCAGGCACTGCTTTGCCCAGCTGGTCAACGAAAAGGGCCTGAGCCACCCAGTGGCCCAGTGGTGCCCCCAGGTGTTGGCCATCCACAACCAAAGAATGTCAATCGTTTCATTGCCTAAGTCTCCGCGCGCACATTGGTGTGAAGCATTGGTGTGAAGCATATCCGGCTTTAGGTCACGACGGTGTGCCACATTTCGCTGGCGCGGGTAGATGGCTGTGGAAGCCTTAGGCTATGTCTTCCACGCAGTGCGCGGGCCGGGCGGGCCGAACCTGAAAACCAAGTGTATAAATTCCTGAAGTTGGAAGGGTCCAATTGCGAAGAACGTGCGGGGCTATGTGAGTGCGCTTATTTCGCCGCAGGACGCGCACCTTTGAAGAACTCTTCGGCGTTGGGCTGGTCTTTCGGGTCTGATTTCTGCATCCCTGTCGCTCGGTCACGCAGGCGCTGGACGTCGTAGGCGCTGTAGGGCTTGGGCCTGGCATGGGCCCAGGCGCCCAGAGCCTGCTGCAAATCTGAGCACAGAGACTGACGTGTTGCCCTGCTCTACCCTTGACCCGAGACACGCACCAGGCTGGTCTGCAGCATGACAGCACGCATCCAAGCGTGGTTTTGACTTGAGGAGGGTCTTGCTACTCTCGGAAAGGGCTTTGATTTTTGTTAGCAACGGCTTGGATCACACAGTGAGGCCGCCGCTTGTGCTCCGATTCTTGTTAAGAAGCAAAGGTTTGCTGGAGACTTTGAGCTACACTAGGGCTTGATCATTGGACTTGGCTTGGCGCTGTCGAGGCTATATTTGGACCAAGGCTAGGTTCAGGAGAACTGACTTCCGCCGGATGCGTGTCAGCTTGGCGGCCAGTTTTGTGGTTGCGCTGAGCTAGATTGCTGTCTAGGTGCTTGGTTTTCGTCTGTTATCGGTGGCTTTAAGCAATCTGGTGTGCACCCCCCCTTGCTTGTCGCTAAAATTTGCAGCCAAGAGTCTCCGCAGCTTGCCGGGCATTTTGGCTTTCCAAATCGAGGCCTGGGGCACAAAGGCGCTCTGCTTCTGAGGTACACAAAAACAGAAGAAATTCAAGCGCAAACATCAGTATCGCAGATAATACATTTACCTAGGGAGCAATTGGCCAACAGGACATTTTTTCGCCGATCCCCCCCCCCCCCCCGCGCCCCGTTTTGAGCGACCCTCCGCGCGCGGCCGGCCTATTGCAGCTGCCACCTCCGCGGCCTTCCGGAGCTGCTCTCCGTTGCTGCCGCCTGCCGTGCGCTGAGGTACTCTAAGAGTTGGAAACCAAAAAACAACGTGTCACTTGACTTTTGCAGAATCAAAAAACAGTTTGCAGTTATTCAATGCCTATCTTCTCAAGATCCTCAAAGTGTTCGCACCGGTCCAAATGAAGTGCTTGTTTTTGTCCCCAAATTCAAGTTCAGCATGGCATCCGTAGCTTTGGACAGCCCTCGAGCACCAAGCTGTCAGTCAATGAAACATCTGCTGGCCTGCCATCAGGGTTTGAAGCAGCTTCCTCACCTGGTGTGCTGGCTCGGGCCCGACAAAACACATACTGTCACATACTTCTCCTGACCGCGTGTCTTACAAGACAGGAAGAGATATCCCACCTCATTGCTTGCTGCACCGCTCATTCACTGTGCAACGCTAGTCCCGAATTGCCTTCCTCAACATGCCGCAAATCTCCGTCTGTGTGCAGTACTCCCTCCAGGCATCTCAAAACTGGAACTCCCCCCGTCACTCTCACGCTGAAAGGAAACTAAGAGCCTGCGGCCCGAAACATCTCCACAATTTCGCAAACAATCTAATCCCTGGAGGAACCCTGCTCAATTCGTATTGAGAGCATTTAGGAATCGATCAACTGACTCGGCTCCAAAAAAAAAGCCACGGCACAAAGGCGCGAAAAGGCCTTCTCTTGCATGAAGCTGTCGGCCTGGACAGTTGGCTTCTCGCCCAGCCTCACGGCGGCCACGGACTTCCGAAGTGCGGTGAGCGAGTCAGTACGATGATTTCAGGCGATGCCCTGATGGCAGGGTTCATAGGCCCTCACGGTAAAACTCTCAGATCAACATGCTCCAAACTCCGAGTCTTTCTCAAACCTAACGCAGTCTAGATCTCTAAGCCAGTGCCCTCGCTCTCCTGTGCCCAAGTGCCGCTCTGTGGTTCAGGCTTCAAGGTTGGCACCGGCTCCACCTGCAATGTAGAAAGCTTACTGAAGTCTGAGTCTTGAATCACGCCGGCCCTCCTTTGGTCGCAACTACGAAACCTGGCTCCTATACCCAGTAGCGTCAGCTCTTTGCCAGGCACTATGTCAAAAGGTACCATTGACGTTTGATCTTACTTAAATGGTTGTAAAGGTTTGTACCCCTACTTTCACCCCCACTCAACCAGGTACCCCAGGGTGCAAATGGATAGCAAAACAAGCCCTTTACGTGGATAAGGAACGGCCCAAAATTGGGCAGTTGCATCATCTGCCTTCACGCAACTGTAGAAAACGACTACCAACATGGGCTGTTCGATAGGCATGGCTTTTGGTCTGAATCTCAGCATCACAAGCATCACCAGCTGGTGGACAGTTCAGCAGCAGGCCCTTCCGACTCCACATTGGTCGAGTTTTATCGGGTGCTTTAACCTCTTGGATCAATCACTGGAAGTATCAGTCGAAGCCCAGCATGCTGATGCGTACCAATGGACGGGGGTTGCAAGGATCAGCAGGCCTCTCATGCTGGGCACCCGTCTTCTTCCGCTCCGCAAAGTTCAAATTCTAAAGTACAAGCTGTGCCTAGGTGAAATTCTAACTCTGACCGTCCGGTTTGCCTGTGGAAAGCATCCCTCAAAACACATCCGTCTCAAACAAAAAGTGGCAAGGCACACGCGTTTGCTTCTGGCGAAGGCATCCAGCCTCCGCTGCTCTTGGGACTTCAATGACTGCAGCTTGTGGACTTGCTGAAGCTTGTGGCTCACTCCTGCGTACCAGCACGTCAAGCTGCCTACTTCGCTTGCACTGGCTGCGCTGGCTGCGCTGGCCTCTTTGACGTGCGAGCCTCTTCTGTTCTGGCCTCTCCAGACTGTCTTGACACGGAATACCAAAAAGCCAAACAACACCTGTCGATCCTCTGTCAGCGATAACATATTGACAAAACTCCTCTGCACAAACCTGCCTTCTGCAAAAGGATCTCTGCCTAGCAATGCGTGCTCGGCAAGGCATGAAAACGTGCTGGCCAGGGCAAACTGTGCTTTTTACTTTGTGTTCTAGTCTGAGGTGCCAGTTAGGAAACATATGTTGGATCAGAGCTTTCTTTGTCGTTTAATCAGGACGAAAACTGGATGCACGCGATGTGTCGAATTTGGTTGAGTAATTCATTTAATAGTAAATCCCAAACAATGTCTGCCAAATGACAACAAGCGCGGTGACTGGCACTGTCAAAGTGCTGTGATCGCTGTTGTTCCTCCTTATTGGATTTCCGTGCTTTGTTGCTTTGCCCTGACCAAAGGCTTTCCTGAGCCTAGCTGTACCGTTTTCTAATCAATTTACAATGGCTTTGCACATTTCTACTTGAAGGACCTGCACTTCCATAACAAAGATGGATGTGTGCTCGTTTTGGGGGGGTTGGCTCAGGCTGTTTTTGTGTTGGTTTGGGGTTGATTTAGGGTCTAGGGGGTTGGCTCAGGCTGGTTTAGGCTTCGCTTTCCCAGTGTTCAAAAGCAAGTCGAAACACGTGGGTCAAAAACGAGGTGTTCCCCCCAACAAAGTGAAATCTGCTGTAAGAACCCGCCGCCCCAAACAGAGGTGCCAAACCTTTCCAGGCCATTTACAAAAAAAAACAAAATGCCGCGAGGCGACGCGCCAACGGCACTTCTCCAAAACGGGACGCACGAGACTTCGAGATCGGAAAGCTGCCGCCTCCTGGGTGCTGTCGGAAAGCTGCAGGTCCTTGGCCTCCTGCAGCGCCTGCTGCAGCTGTGCCGCGTCCTCCCTCAGCGACCCTGCTGCCTCCTCGGGGCCAAAGGGGGAGCAATGGATAAGCTGTTGGAAAGTTATCGCGATTGCCAAAACCAGTCACAACACAATGTCAAAAGTACAGATGGTGACCTGGGGACTTAGGGATTGTTGCTGAATTTGTTAATGGATGGCGTAACGCTTTGACAGGAGTTGTCAAACATTTGAGGCTGACAAGTCCTAGTTGTGACGCATTTCCACATGTTTGCCCTTTGCTAAAGCCGTCCTCGTCTACCGCCAGATCCCTCAGATCCGCAGACACTTTTCGGGCAGCTTGCTGCAGGGCCTGGAACGCCTCCGACTGCAGGCTGCTCTGATGCGCCTCAGGGCTGCAGAGGGGCAAATCTTGAACCGCTTACACTTGCAAGCTGGGCTTTAAGTCCCACTTGGAGATTTCATGTTGAAACGGTTCTCCGTCAAATGCAGGAGCCTTGCCTGGGGGGGGGTCCCCCCACCATGCACTGGAGTCCAGTTTCAAAGTCTGAACAGCACCTCCATACACCTCCAGCTAAGAAGAACCAGCTCGGGAAGCAAAGAACCTTGAGTCATGTTGCCACACCTTGTAGGTAGAAGGAAACCACAACCGGACGGGGCAGCAGGGGGCTGGCAGGGCTTGGCAAGCTCAAACAGCAAACGTGCAGGGGTGACTCAGTGACTTGGACGTGAGGAGGGAGGATCAAGGCCTTCACTGCCTTCACTTCCGGCCTTCTGCAATGCAGCCTCTGCCTGCTGCACCAGCTCTGGCTCCACCTGAGTTTGCTGTGTCAAACAGTCGTCAGTCGCCGGGTTTCCCCAGCCTCCTGCAAGCCGATCATCTTTGCCTCGTGCAGCGCCGAGGACAGGAGGTGCGGATCCTGGCGTTCTCCGTGCCATGCTCAACCTCCGAAAGCGCCTAATCGCAGCCAACCCAACACATGAATTCAGCACCTATCTGAATCTACGTGGACTACACTGCAACAGGCGTACATCGCAGAGTGAAGCAACGCCAACTGTACCTCTGAGGCGTGCTGGAGAGTTCGTTGCAACTCCTTCTTGGCGGATTCCTGCCGAAGAAGCACATGCTGCAGTGAGAAACTAAGGTCAGGAAACACCCAGGACGCAAAGTCCTGCTCGGTTCGTATGCGTTGAGAGGCTGGCGATGACCTCAAGGCTCAGGGCAGCTGCTAGCGCCCAACAAGCCTTGAGATCCAAAGCATATGCAAGGACCTCCTCAAATCTCCGAATCGCGACCCTCTCCCTCCATTGGAAAGCTTGGCACTGCACTTGGACGTGCTCTTGATGATCGGCGGCAGCGTGGGGGGTCCAGACGGGGACGCCGAAGCCACAGATGGTGCCGACAGAGACGCCGCAGGCGTCTGCTCTTCTGGGCTGGACCCAGGCCAGGCGAAGGGCCACGACAGCGACTGTGTCGGCACCGCCCACCCCGACGGTGTGGAGGGCGCCGCTTTGGCAGGGCTGGGCCAGGTGTCGCTGGCTCCCGGCCTCAAGCCGTGCGGAATGTTTGGAAGAGCCGGCCCTTTTTAGGGATCTGATCCTGCCAATGCAGGTACTGCGAAGCGCAACCAATTCGCATGAGCCCGCCCCCCTCTTGCTGCCAGCGGGCATCGTCTGGCCAGTTGCAGGAGAAGCCTTCCAAAGAAGTTTTCATGTTTGACTTTAAAAATGACAAAACCCTCAGAGCGTCAGAAAACTAATCGACACTGCGAATTGTGCCACAAACCTTTCTCTCGTGAACCTTTGCCGGCGAGTTCATGGCGTTCTCCAGGCAACCAGCATGTGTAATCCTGAACCCTGTTGAATTGGGCGTTCGCAACCCTTGCCGGCACCGTGGTACTTCCCCACCCCGCCCTTCACAGATTCACCAAGTGTACCATTGGTATACTTGCCAAAGTCAGCATGGATGGTCGTGATTACCCTTATAAATATCCTGTTTCAAGCCCGTGTTACCAGCTAGATGACCATCCCGTTCTACTCCCTGCAGTTGCTCACTTGTGACCATGGCTCTCCACATCACGCTGCCTGCGATCCGAACGTCTGCTGAAGACCTGCTGGCGATTGCTGCGCCTCAGCGCCAAGGCCTGCTGTAATATTTCGATCAGTGTGACCACATCACTGTTAAGTGGCGGGAGGCTCTCCAACGCAAAGGACGAAGAAACGCCAGGAGCAACGTGAGGGCCACGTGGTCAGCCCCAACCCTCAAGCTGTGAAGGAGTAACATGATCTGGTTATGATCCGGAAGTGGCAAAGCTTGAGCATGGGCCGCGGCCCCTATAAAAGCGCACCTCAAGTCCCTGTGAACAGAAATACGGTCCGCGTCTTTTTTCCAGAGCCAGACACAATCGATTCACCACAGACTTTCAGCCGCTCTCGAGCCTCACCTTCGGGAAGCACTTTATTCGCAAGTACTTCAGAAACATTCTCAGGACGGCAGTGCGACTGACTGCCTTGCGGGGGAAGCGACACAAGGTCCAACTGAAATGGATTTATCTCAAAGCGCCGAGGGACAGACACACTTGCTGATGGGCCGCGTGCGGCTTGGGCCAACCACCTCCTGAGGCAGGGGTAATGGGAAAAATCCACGCTGCCGATCACTCCCGTTGCCACAAGCATCAAAACTGTCAGCCAGCCACCTCCTTGCGCATCACCGCCGCCAGAGAAACCAGGCAACAATAGGGCACCCCGGCCTCGGAACTCAGAGCCTCTGTTGGGCCATGCCGAAGTCACTCCGCGGAAACTTGGTCGCCGTGTTTCGTCACGATCTCTTTGGATACTGACTCCTCACCATCACGTCGCCGAACTCTCTACGCGACCCAGCAAAGATGCCGGCCTCCTCTTTCTCACCCTTGCCTTGCCCACGCCGCCGGCCACAAGGGCGGCTTGCCAAAACGATCCTCGCGTGAGCAAGGTCATGAGGGGCCACGCCATGACGTAAAAATACCCTAGCGTCACGGGCAGCGACATCCAGCCCTCTCAAAGTTGAAGGCTGTCGGCCCCGAGTAAGGTGCAACTGCTCCTGTGACTTGCTTTGCAAACCTTGCATGTGATCTGCGCTGCTCACATTCTCCCAGACAAATAGCACGCAAGCCCCCCGCTTCTCAAGGGCTTTCCGCCACACACTGAAAAAGATGCCAGCCAAAGCCCACAGTGCCCCCTTTAGCAGCTCTCAAAAGAAGTGCCCGGGCACACAGTGCTGGCACGTGCAGTTGCAAAGACAGCCGGCCTCCAGTAAGCAGCCAACCAATTTAAAGCAAAGGGTTAATCTCCGGAGCATCTGAAAGCTTGAGCATGAGCCGCGGACCCTACAAAAGTGCTACTCAAGTCCCTGGGACCCACTTTGGCACGTCACCAGAACAAACAATGCTAGCAAGGAGAAGATCAAACAAATAATGCCGCCCCAAATCCACTGGGTCGTCAAACCGTGGGCTCAATCAAGTTCAGCTCCTTTTGCGCAGCAAATGAGCTCCCAGTCTGGCACCTTTGGAAGGTAGCACTGTGGTCCCCAAGAAAGACCAACTTCACCGACCCTTGCTTGGAAGTACCATTCGTTATTGTATACTGCATGTTCACATTGCTTTGCAGAACGAGGCTTTGGTCGCCAAGCTCTGCCGCAACTTTGCATTTGTGGGCCATAGCAACCTCTGAAACGCAGGCCAAGCGTCTGCAGAAGGGCCATCATCAGCAAATCGCACAGATGGCTGTGAAGCTGGCGAGACTTGTCGCGCCTTGAAACATGGATCAAGGCACTACCCACTGCACACAAGACTCCCAGCGACTCGCGCTCCGCTCAAACATGGATGTAGAGATTGGTATCTGCATGTTGTGGGTTGGCCCGTGTTCCCCAAAATCCTTCCCGTCTGCATTCTGCCTTAATTGAAAGCGAGCTGCCCCGACAAAATCCGGCTCAACCGCTGGTTGCGAGCGCATGGATTGCATCGCCGGCGAGGACTGCACCTTTCTAGGGCCATTGCCATTGCTCAATTCGTGCAGCAAGTTCTCCCAAACACGCGCACTTTGGGATGTGTTTGCAGGAAAGTACAGGAAAGCCGCAGGGCGCCAAGCAACTTTGAAGTTTCTAGAGACACCCAATGTGCTGATTGCCGCAAACAGCGCCTGTGGACTATGCCCATGGAGCACCTCTTGGAAGACAGTTGCGATCCGCTGCCGTTGGCTCCGGTTTCAATGCAGGCGCTCGAGCGTCACACAGCGGCTCTCTGTGTGCGTCTCCTTTCATAGTCCTTGTAAAGCCAAAGGCAGAAAGGGGCTCCAAACCAGTGTGCACATTGCTCTGGCATTGGCATTGACCTGATGCTTGTCAGGTGTGAAGCGTTTTGCCCGGCTTCTGGGGTTTCGCATCTCTTTTGTCTGAAGTCTGCTAGGACTTCTAAAGCTTGCTCAAATCTGCTGACTCCGGAATCTCTGTTGGACATTCAACTTGATCAAGCTTCACTAGTAATTACTTGGCGTCAACGCCCTAAGTGTTCTATGTTTCTCACACAATCTGCATCCCCTGCATGCCTGCTCGGCTTCTGTCCGTTCTGTTTGTGCTCCTGGATTCAAGATAGAAGCTCCGTCGGCCCATTGCCACCAAGCAAGAGGAGGGCCACCGAAGCATCGTTTGAAAGCAGAAGGAACATCCCCAAACATTCCCAGCCTGCGTTCCTACCACTGCTTGATAGTGGTCTGTCTCCTTTGCGCAATCAGTGTCCGAGTCTGTTTTGCGCAATCACGACTAGAGCTTCCTCAACAGATGCAGGCTCTCGTGGCCAACAACCGTGTTCCAACAAATAGTTGCCGGCCTGTCTTACGTTTCGGACACGCAAATGCATGGGCAACACAGGTGCAAACGAGCGGCCCCAAACGGGTCTGCGTCAGCAAACGCAAAGGATTGCACGGCTGAGGACGACGGTTGCGCCTCAGTTTACCGAAGGTTGCTTGCAGTGTTGAACCAGGTTCTCGTTCAGTCTGGATTCTGGGATGCTGCGTGATGTTTGGCCTGTTGTGTTGCAGCATCTTCACTCACAATCTCTCAGGCGTGCATCATCTTGCCTAGAAACTCAATCACTCGACGGACATGTTGGGACCAGCAGTGTGATCTGCTGCTGCTGGTCTAAATGTCATCTTGTCGACGCAGTTCTGACACAAACAACATGGCGTGTAAACTCATGGTCCTTCCAACTAATCATCGGCTTGACTGTTGAGGCAAGGCTGGTGCACAATAGTTGGGTTCAGCTTCAAAAGCTGGGGTGTGGAAGGTCCACACGCCATCCGGGTGCGGAGTGAAGTGAAGCGGGGCTCGGCGTTGCTCAAGCGTTACTCTACAGCGATTAAGTACCTCTTGCTGCGTTGCTGCGGGGAAGGTGATCGACATCGTGTTTGCTCGTTTTCTGGGGGATGCTCGAAGCATCCCTTTGTCAAAGCCCGCCAACAAAGCCTCATATGCCTCATATTGTAAACACAGATTGTTGATTTGAATTTGATTTTAAGCCCTCAGGGTGGGCTTGGGGTTTAGGATTGGGTCGAGCTTGGTGTCGGGTAGGGCTATCTGGGATAGCAGGACCGAAGTCGCTACAATAAGCTTGATGCGGTCGTCCTGTTACATGTCTGCCATAACTCTCAAGCTGCTCACGCAGATCCAAACCCAAATGCAAACAAGCAGCGCCAAAAGGATCTTCTGCGCCAAAGGCAGAGTGCACGGTCGCAGGAGACGGCTGCGCCTTGGTCTCAACCGCACGGGTCGAAGACGATCAAAGCGTTTTCTGCCACTGCTTCTGAATGAAGCAGGCTCGCACGGCCGCCAAACACAAGAGCTGTTTGTTTGCTCTCAAACAAACACGGACAAGCCTGATTACTGATCAAGTTTCTCTGGCAGAGTTGACCGGCCTGTCGCACTGATGCCTGGCTTGCCGCTGGAGATGGCTGAGCCTGGCAAATGGCTCAGCAATCGCCAAAGAACGCACCTTCCCCTCCAAATCAGCCTAAAGTGGAAGTGGACAGAGAACAACTTGAAAATCGTCCGCCAATCTTTCAGCTTGCAGAATTGTTGAGTCAAGGGGGAGTGGAATACTTTGAAAGACGAAAGTCGCTTGAACAAGCCAGAAGTATTCAAGTTCAAACTGATATAGCTGCTTTTCTGATAGCCAAAAGCTGCCATTGTCCCTTAGTGCCCTCAGCTTTCCTTTATACGATTCCCAAGCTGCAAATGCGTGGCCGACCAAACTGCAAGCGAGCAGCCCCAAAGGGATCTGCGGCGCCAAAGGCGTACTACCACCAGACACAAGAGCTGCTTGTTTTCTCTCAAACAAACACGGACAAGCCCGATTACTGATTAAGTTTCTCTGGCGGAGTTGACCGGCCTGTCGCACCGATGCCTGGCTTGCCGCTGGAGATGGCTGAGCCTGGCAAATGGCTCAGCAATCGCGCAAAATCCTGACTCGAGCCTTTTCCTGATCAAGCAGGCTTCGGTTTAGGTAGGGTTTCGGGTTGGGTCGGCGAAATCATGACTTGTCCAGCTGCCAAAGAACGCACCTTCCCCTCCAAATCAGCCTAAAGTGGAAGTGGACAGAGAACAACTTGAAAATCTTCCACCCATCTTTCAGCTTGCAGAATTGTTGAGTCAAGGGGGAGTGGATACTTTGAAAGACGAAAGTCGCTTGAACAAGCCAGAAGTATTCAAGTTCAAACTGATATAGCTGCTTTTCTGATAGCCTAAAAACTGCAATAAGCTGCCATTGTCCCTTTAGTGCCCTCAGCGTTGCTTTATACGATTCCCAAGCTGCAAATGCGTGGCCGACCAAACTGCAAACGAGCAGCCCCAAAGGGATCCGCGGCGCCAAAGGCAGACGCCTGTGACCGGCCCGATTGCACGGCCGCAGGAGACGGCTGCGCCTTGGTCTCAACCGCACGGGTCGAAGTCGATCAAATTGCTTTCTCTACCACTGCTTGGCAAGCACAGCCGGCTTGGAATAGCCTGAATGAAGCAGGCTCGTACGACCACCAAACACAAGAGTTGTTTGCTTTATTTCAAACAAGCACGGACACGCCTCATTGCCTGATCAAGTCTCTCTGGCAGAGTTGACCGGCCTGTCGCGCTGATGCCTGGCTTGCCGCTGGAGATGGCTGAGCCTGTCAGATGGCTCAGCAATCGCGCAACAATCGTGACTCGTGCCTTTTCCTGATCAAACAGGCTTCGGTTTAGGCTAGGGTTTCGGGTTGGGTCAGCGAAATTTTGACTTGTTCAGCTGCCAAAGAGCGCAACCCCCCATCCAAATGGGGGTGGACATAGAATTTATCCAATCCTTTTTTCAGCTTACACAATTGTTGAGTGACGCGGGAGTAAATACTTTGAAAGAAGTAAGGCGGCAGAATAAGCCAGAGGCATTTGAGTAGTCTCCTCTTGCTTCTAGCAAGCCAAGGGCTGCCATTGTCCCCTCAGGGTTCCGTTTGGCGATTCCCAAGCTGCAAATGCGTGGCCGACCAAACTGCAAACGAGCAGCCCCAAAGGGATCTGCGGCGCCAAAGGCAGACGCCTGTGACCGGCCCGATTGCACGGCCGCGGGAGACGGCTGCGCCTTGGTCTCGACCGCACGGGTCGAAGTCGATCAAAGCTGTTTCTGCCACGGCCACAAGCCACAAGACTATTTTGCTGGTTGTTTCTTCTCAATGACGGACGGCTCGGCAGTCACAAACCATGCAGGGTGTCTCTGGCTGTTCCGCTCCACTTGCTGGGGATTCTTCAACACACACCACTCAACGAACACCTGCGTGCAAGAACGAAACACGTTATCCTGCCCAATTTCAGAATATAAACTGTATTTTTCTGCAATTACGCTTGGATATTCAAACAAACAAGACAATCGTGCTACACGGCCAACCCAGGTGCAAACGAGTGGCCCCAAAGGGATCAGACGCTGGTTGTGTTTGCGCAGATTGCATGGCTGCTGAGGACGACGGTGGCGCCTCACGACGGGAGGACAAGCTGATTGCTTGTATGTGTGATGCTCTGTGACATTCCTTGACTGCGGCATGCCGCTGCCAACCTCTCACATGTGCATCATCTCGCCTAGCCTGCCTCTCTGGACAAGCATGTGACCTGCTATGGGTTGCTTGTGTGTGTGTGTGTGTTCCAAATTCATTCCTCGCTCTTGTTTTTTCAACATGAACTGGCCTCAGGTGGAAACTGCCTGCCCACTACGCTCTCCAAAAAGGCTTGCAAGCGTGGTGATCCCTGTCCGCTTGAGTAAAAGTAGTCTGCACCCGGTGTCGTCAGTTTTCCTCTGAATCGATTTTGGGGGTCTCGAAGGAAGAACTCTGGCAAACCAACAACTTGCACGGGGTCAGTTTGGATTGCTGCGTGGTCAATGTGTTCTGGCGGCCGATCGACAAAAACAAGTACCTAGTACAAGGCCGCGGACTGACTGAAAGCTTGATGTCCATCCTGATCGACGACTAGTCTTTATAGACATCCGTGGCTGATTAACCTGCAAACGACAAAGTGCAAACGAGCAGCCCCAAAAGGATCTGCACCAAATGCAGATGCCTGTGACCGCCCCGATTGCATGGCCGCGGGAGACGGCTGTGCCTTGGTCTCAATCACAGATCATTGATAAAAGCCTTTCCTTCCATGGCTGGGCAAGTAATTACATCTGGCTTGTCGGATTTTCTCTCAAACAGACACGGACAAACCTGCTCGCCCGATCAAGTCTTGTGTCTCGACACGGCATTGACAGGCCTGTCGCACGGATGCCTGGCTTGCTGCTGGAGATGGCTGAGCCTGGCAGGCGGCTCGGCCATCATGCAACAACCGCTGCTCTCACCTTTTCTCTCCGAGACCTCGGGAACTACGAAACATCTGACACGTCGTTTCACAGGGCGGAAGTGTTCTTGGCCAGGCATGGACCTCTTCGCCACTGAAAGCATCGGACTGGACTGGATTTCAGCCGGAAGCTCAAAACAACCAATTTGCCCAAGACCCAAGATCGAACAACGCCTGGCTGTTAATCTTCTGGCCACTAGCTGTTTTGATCCTCTTGCCCTTGGATACAATATTCTGCTTGTCAAGGTGCACATGCGCAGCCAGTCTAGGTGACAAGTAACCCCGAATGGATCGGCATCCGCTGGCGATCGCATGGATTGCATAGCCGCAGTCGATGGCTGAGCCTCAGGCGTCTCGGAGCCTTGCTTGACTTCAAGTAAGCTCCGTGATGCTCCGTGTCGCTTTGAGCAAGTCACAAGAGCTCAAGGTATCCCTATGCGTTGCGCATATGTGTTGGGACCAGTGTTGAATTGCAAAGAGCATCGTTCAAGGGCACCAGGTAAAAGGGTCACTAATGTTGCCAACATTGTTTACTGATCAGTAGATTGTGTTGAGGCATCCGCCGAAAGCATTGCTTAGAATGTGCATAAGGAGCAGCGCTTGGAACGATTCGCTCCCACGACGCTCACTATTCGGCTCCGTCTCAGCTTCTTGCTGAGAGGCCTGTCTGAGGTTAGGGGTGGTCATGGTGGTCGCAAGAGTGATCGACAGCGCCAAAGAGCGCGTTCCTTGAAAGTCTCGTGTAAGACAGTTGCTGTTGACCATTGCTCAGAAGACTTCAGGAATCCAATGTGTAAAATGTTGGAAAATGCTACTTAAAAGCTACAACATGGCTTGAGTGGTCGGCCGGCTGGCTGGCTGGCTGGCTGGCTGACTGGCTGGCTGGTTGGTTGCTTGGTTGGTTGGTTGGTTGGTTCGTCTTTCCTTCTTTCTTCCTTTCCTTCTTTCTTCCTTGATGTCTGTATTTCTTCCATCCGTCGTGTGTTTCTTCCTTCTTCCTTCTGCCTTGTCTTGCTTTCTTGCTTTGTTGCTTTATTGCTGTACTTATTGTGCTTTGTTCTTCCTTTCTTTCGTTCTTTCTTTCTTGCTTTCTTTATTTCTTCATTCCTTTCTGTGCTTCGTTCTTTCTTTCTTTATTTCTTATTTGTTTCTTATTTCTTTCTTTCTTTCTTTCGTTCTTTCTTTCTTTCTTTCTTTCTTTCTTTCTTTCTTTCTTTCTTTCTTTCTGTCCTTCTGTTTCCTCTTTTCTTTCTTGCTTTATCTATTGTTTCTTTCTTTCGTTTGTTTGATTGTTTGTTTGCTATTTTTGACAGTTTGTCTGCTTGATTGTCTGTTTGTCTGCCTATTTGTCTATGTGTCTGATTGTCTGTTTGTGCGTCTCTGTTTGTGTTTGTCCGTGAATTTGCGCATGGCGCTCCACGGGTTGTGAGAACCATGTTGCTGGTCACTGAAGCGTGCAGCATGACTCTCAGAGCTTGCTGCGGAAGTCTGCCGCTACAACAAGTTGTTCGAGTGCCGGTGTTGTTCCAAAGTATCGTTGTAGACTCTCCCTTTCTCACAAATGTTCTACGAGAAGAGTGCGACCCGAATTCCTCTCTGGAACAACCTTGTAGGACTGTTTTGTGCAAGGATGGATCAACAAACAAGTCGGACAGGCGCCGTCGTGTTGCAACCATTCCCCACTGGCCTTTGCCAAAGTGTCACAAGATGCCAGGAGAATGCTTGCTTTCAACTTTAAATCGTCTCTCGGGCAAAGCAAGGCACTCTCTGGCACAGGCGCATGGGACATGCAGGCAAGGTGCTCCAAACGAATCTGAGGCGCTGCCCTGTCAAAATACAAAGCGAGCAACATGCGATACATGTCCGCCTGCCCAAAAAAAACATATGTTCAGATTTGGCGAAGGAGCCAAGAAATTGCCATTGGGCCTGTGGCATATGGGCACTTTGAAGGCAGGCCTGCGACCGCACTGATCCCGTGCCCAGGGATAGCTGCACCTGAGATGCAACTGGGGACAAAAGACCAACAGAATCCGCCCATGGGGAACTTGGCCAAGGGGCGCCCGGAGACGCCATGGATGCCTAGGCGATCTGCAGCCAAAAATATGTCACCATGTGAATGGTCTTTGTGGGCTGGGGGGGGACATGTGAATATATCTATCCGTTCTTAAAGTTGCTTCCAAAGGGATACCAAGGGGAAGCCATGCAATGTTGATCTATTTTAGGGTGCCCGCATTTTCTGACAAACACACGTGTTCACTTCAAAAAGATTGAACTCATGCTTCATGTATGTAACTTGCAAGGCTGCAGCAAACAACAATTAGCTCACACCAGCGTGGACCCCATTTGGCCACTCCAGTCTGCTACTGGCACCCGGAATCAGGACCCTGAACCATCCTGCGCCAACAGCCTTCGCCAGACCAGCACGAGAACCGCTTGCAAGCGTCCTGGTCTCATTACGTCTCCGTCTATGAGAAATGATAACCGCTATAGATTTCAGCTATCTAGGGAGAAGAACAGCGTTAGACAATACTTGTGAACCATGGGACCCTAAAATGTTGCTTTGCTGAATTCGATGCGGAAAAAACAAAACGCACGGGATGCCTCATGAACCGAGCGTCTTTGCAACTTCCCCTCTTGAGAACCGCTTGAAGCGCTTTGTGCCTGCATGAATGCGGGTGGGGCATCACACACCTGCATTTGGGGAAGAAGTATCTCTGCTCAAACAGCAGCCTCAGTGCCGCCAGGTCTCGCTGCCTCGCCTTTCTGCTTCCTCCTTCCAAGTAGTGGCTCGCAGGCCTGAGCAGCACCGCATCGCTTTGGCGCACCATAGTGAACGTGCGCGCGGGTCGCAACTGGAACCGCCTTGCATCCTTACCAATACTTACATGTGGGAATCGTTTGCAAGGGGACCTCGTTTTGGCCACCTGCTCCAAACTCACCCAAAGTTCCAAAGGTCATTTGTTGAAATCCCGCAACGTTTGGGCCTTAGCATCACGATGTTGAAATTGTTCCTCCCACACCACACCCCCAAACACGCCGCCACCCTCCGGCTTTGGTCAATTTGTCGTCCCAGGCGGGTGGGTCTCGGGGTTTTGCTACACGTGCTCAAAGAATTCAACCCATTGTCCCTGATTGAAGGAAAGGAGGTTGCTGAAACACCCATAGTTGTCAAACCATGATTTCATCAGGGGCTGACCACCCTGGTTTGTTTCGGGGGGGGGGTTGCGGGAGGGCGCTACCAACAGCATTGGCTTTGCGACCTTCTCAAGGTCAGGCCGCGGCGCTTTGCCAGCTCACTCGAGGGAGAAATCAAAAGCTAGGCCCAGCTAGGCTACCAGCGAAGTTCTTCAAAGTCAGAAGCGCATTCCACCTCAGCGATGCATCTCCATGCCCCGAATACACCAGAGTTCAAGAAAGCCCGCGCAGTAGGATTCGCACAATCTGTTGCATCACATCGAAACGTTCCCGGGTCCTGGACTATCACTGCTCAAGATCCGATATCAGACTTTGAAGCGCAAAACGATCCAAACGGGCCAGGCACACATACAAATATCTGCCTGCTGCTGGAGTTGCTCCACTTGCCTGGCACCGGCCACTGCCGGAAAATTGGCACCAAACCGAATCGTGAGGAAACCTCACCAGCGTTAAACTCGTTAAACTCCGCTACTTGTCATGGGCAAATTTCCGTTTGAAACTGCAGGAGGCCAACTCGTACTTCATTGAGAAATTGAGACTGCTTGGCATTTTGGGGCTGATCGCCGTACCTGTGTCTCCGTACCTTTCTACGCTCTACTACGCTTCCAGGAATTCCAGCAAGGAAGACCACGCATCAGAGATTCTTCTTATCTGCGGCCAGCTGGAAAGCGGCACACCACCAATTTGTTCGCGGCCCTCTCCCTCCAGCGTGGTAAAACCCGAAGGAAGCTGCAAATATAACTAGGAACAGGATCACTCAAGTACTGAGACTGTGCCAGCGATGTTCAGGCGATGTCATGTATGGGAACCATCGAATTATGCACACCACTACTGGAAGCACCACCACCCTTCAAGTGTTCTGCCCGGAAATTTGCAATTTGCGGACTGGCCGAAGAGCAAACCGCCCAGACCCACCTATCAGGGCTGCAGCTGTAGCTACGGAGCATGAACATAACTGGGTGTTTCCTGTAGCAGCACGCCTGGCAAGAAACTAATGACTAGCTTACCTCTTGTTTGTTGTTGCACGTCAAAGCTTCCACGTTTGAAGCTTTGCGCCAAGTTTATGCCTTTGTAAGCACTGAACTAGGTAGTCGTTGTGTGTAACTTGCCAAAGGCTCATCTGTGCTTCGCCAACCAGCGTATCCAGCCACGGCACCATGTCTTCACCTGCGCGAAAAACAAGTTGCTCCCATGGAGGGTCGCGAGGCGATTCACGTCCACCCTTGCATGGTAACATCTGTGACTCCCAACTGATCACGAAATCGCCGCAACCTCAAGCATGTGCAAACACCCGGACAGCTGAGTGGCCAGCTGGGCTCATTGTTCAGCACATCCTTGGCTTAGCCAACCAGAACTGAGCTGCGTATGGCCCTGCGCCAAGTCAGTCAGGCCACATTCAAGGGAGCTATCAAATCTGCCTGCAAGTGCTGCATGCCTCGCGTCACCTCAGGTGGCTGAGGTCGATGCTGAGGTTAATGAAATGGCGGAGCTCAAGAAACCGCTTTGTGTCTCTGATTTCGTGGCCAGGACAAAGAATACACGCAATACTGAACATCCAAACATCTGTGAACAGCAAGTGCAAGTACTTTATATTCTCGGAGGATTTGTGGCCAATTCTAGCTGTACTTTCTTCCGAGTACTTTGCAATTGCCCGCTTTGGGGTGTCGCCATTGGTTGCCAGTCAGCTTCCCCGGCTCCAAGGGCGGCGCTGCGAGGATCTCATCTTCGCCGGCCTCAAGCTGACTGCTGAAGTTTTAAGGAAAGGCCGGGTTTTCCAAGAAATCTCAACATGCGCCCGGCATTGCCCAGTTCCCCAACGAAGGGCACCTAAGACTCAATATTTTATTCTTGAGTTTGGCTGGGAATTGCCGCCAGTGCACTGCCGGTTTTTGGTCGTCCGTGTTCTCTCAACCAGTCTGGAGCTCCCACATCTACAAGCAACCCTCTCGTCTGTTGAGCACCAGGCCGGTGGTACCGGTACCGAGGGACGGCCATTTGCCCGGCTGCCACTTCTGCCGCCTCTGCCGCCGGAAGCGGTCGGGGCGCCGCTGCTGGCGCCGGTGGGGGCGCTGCTGCGCCGGCTGACAGGTGCCTCGTTGCTGGCAGGGGGCGCACCTGTCCAACGGTCCGACACAGCCTTTGCAGGGAATTGGAGAGAGAGCACCCAATCTTCCCTTTCACCTGGATCCTTATTCAGTGCTCCAAGAAGAAGACCAGCTGACGGCTGCTTGTCTTTTGCCTGTTTCTGTGTCGAATCTCACTCATCTCTGGCGTCTCTCTTCAAATATGTAACCGACTCTCCCATGTGCAAGTGATCCACTCCCGGCCTGTCCGCGTTCTGCCGAAGAGCGGCATCCGCGCTCAGCGTGTACCAAGCCACGGCATGCTATTCAGTCTCGAGATGGGCTGCCGGCGTCTAGGTGAATGATGTCAGAAAATTGCACAACGGTTAATGTTGTGTTTTCGATATTCAATAGTCCACTGACAGTGGATCACACAAAAAATAGGTTGTCAGTTGAAGGTGAATGGGAGCTTGTACTTCTGCATTCTTAGAGCCTGCTCCTTGCAGGTTGTAAGCCTGCTGCTTCTCTGTTTGTGCTTGAGCCATCAGCGAGTTCATAGGTGTGTTCCCTCTGACTTCTTTGTAGGAGCTATAGGTCCAATCTGAGGAATGGCCATACCTGGCATGGGCACCGTCCAGTCATGTCCTTGTTTGCGATGAGCAGCAGGCCATCCTTCCTGCAACCCACAAATCAGCATGCTTGCTTGCCTCTGGATGTTGGTATTACCTGGCCTCAACAACCTTGCCGCACCGCGCAGAAACCTGCAGTCGACTCGGGGAATGCTTGCAAAATGGCAGGGGTCTTCCCTTTATGCGTTTCTTGGAGGCAAAAACGAGAAGAAGCCAAGTCTTGACATGTTCCAAAGAAGCCCCATTTTGATTTCTCAAAGCCGCCAAAGGCAATCATCGCAAATTCTTCAATACATTCCCCTTGGTGGCCAACAACTCTTAGTGCGGTCCATGGCAACGATTCCCTAAGTAGAACCCTGGCTGCAACTGCATCCCCCGCAGACCCTGGATATGTGGCAACATTCAGTCCTTGAAGTCTGCCAATTTGCCCAACTTTCTTACCTTCCCTTGCTATCCGGGAAGCTCCGCCAGCATGGCGCGGTTGGCGATCTGCACATCAATGCTGGAGGCACGGGCCTGGCTTAAAATGTCTGTTTCGCGGAGAAACTGAACAAAACCTGCTCCAGGCGCCGGAGAAAGATGTCCTGTTGTGTTGAGGATTCACAACACGATCCAGGGAGGAGTTGAGCCTCCATGATTTGCTTTGTCTGCAAGCGCGACAAACACAACGCCTCACCCATTGGGCAACTGGATCTGCTGCAAACCAAACAAAATCATGATATAAAAAGACAACTGTGGGTGTTCCGGCCTTGTGCACCTTCATCGGCAGCAAGGGGAAGTTGAAGAAGATGCGCTGGCAACTTTTTTCTGAATGCGCAGTGTCAAGCAATGATCCAACACCTGACCGCGCCTGGAAGGGCTTGGTGCCCTGCAGCGGCCCGTCGCACAGCTGCGTGGCATCCACTCCGCACACCACCTCGGCCGAAGTCCTCTGTCGCCGACTGCGGAAAGGTGCTGACCGCCTAAAATCTTTGCTTCAAGAAAACGCCTTCAAGGCATGCCTTCAAGGCATGTTCAGTCACTTCGGGCAATGCGCCTTCACCCCGTGGGACCGGAGAAGCGAGAGCCGCTGCTGCACGTCTCAGCTCGCAGGACTGGCGAGCTCAAAGCCCTGCGTTGGGGAGCGAACTGGCGTACTGCGCAACCAGCTCGGCCTAGCGAGCTGAACTCGGCTTGGCTGGAAGGCTGCATTGGGTGAAGCATTGAGTATCCCCAACTACATTAAACATCTCGCACCAATCAGCGACAGCTGACACCAAGTACGAAACACGTTAAACAATTCGAGGAGTTTAGAGTGTTTCTTGCGTAGTGACGCGCTCATCATAGAGCAAGCCACAACTCTCACGCAAAATGTCTCCGATCAGTCAGTGCTGACATCAGCCTCAGGCTCTTCTCGTGAAATGGCCTATGCTTCAAAATTCAAGGGAAGCCGGAACGACAAATACAGGAAGAGGGTATGCACATGTTGAGATCGCAGCACAAATTCGGTGAGAGGTCCTAAGGGCAATAAAAAGAAGTATGCCATGTTACCCATGTCAAATAATCAGCAATGACTGACGCTCATCTCCAGGAGGAATTACAAACCTCAAGAGTTCCCCTCACTTTGCCGGCGATGCTACCTTCCTTGTTGGTTTGCAGAGGATTCAAGGAAATCCAAATGCTAACAAGCCGGCTTGCAAGCCGAATGTCATATTTTGCCTGGACTCCACCAAACCTACAGAGAAGTGTTGGCAGCTCCATGCATCAACTCT